AGGGTTTGTGTGTAGTGTTTCAGATGTGCCTTATTCGATATAAGAAGACATACAACAAACAAAGTAAAATAATAGTTGATGTGTTGGATTGTTTTAAATGAAATGATTAAATAAGAAAAAAGAAAACATAATAAAAGTGCTAAACAATAATCAAAATAATAATTTCAATAAATAAGAGAATAAGTGAAGAAAGATATAATAAGATTAATGAAAGAAATAACAATTGAAAATAACAATATTAAAAGAAGTTAAAAATTATGTAATTAAAAAACAAAAAAAAATATCATAGAACATTGATTCTACAACAACAAAAAAATCAGTTATTAGAATAAATTGACAATATTGTAATATCATTAATCTTTAAAGAACAATAAACAATAAAAAACAACACAATCCATATTTAATTTTTTAATTTTTGAATTTCAATTTTTGTTTATTAAAAAAAAAAAAATAGAACTAAAAAGAACTTAAAAATTGAGAAAAAAAGAATTAATTATGGAAATTGCTGATACTGAAATTCAACTTTCAGAAAGTCTTCAACATTTACAACAAATGTTGAATGGATATAGTAATGGACAAGGAATTGTTACATCGAAATTTTTATATCAAATAAAAGAAATAATAGAAGCTTCTAAAATAGTTGTTGAAACTACAAAAATTATTACTCGTGAAATATTTTTAAAAGAGCCAGCATTAAGAAATGAATTAGTTTCACTATCTATTGAAATTGTAGATGCATATATTGCTTTAGAAAAATTAACTAATACATTAAAATATAATTTAATGGATGAAACAACTCCATCAGTCGTTATGTCTAGTTGTGAGATAATAGCATTAAATTCTGCAACAATTTTACATATTTTTAATGGTTCTTCATTTACTCGATTATTTTCTGAATCACATTCATTACTGTTTGTTATTTCTTTTTATTTTGTTATATAATTATTATCATATTTATCATATTTAGTGAAAAACTATATCAAGTTACTCCTTCATCTATTACTAATTATACTACTTCAACTATCATCGCTGAAATAGCTGTACAACTCCATACTCATTTAACTCATTTATTAACTCAAGTTAATTTATCAACAGATGAACCACATCAATTACATTCTCTTCATCATTTATTATCAGATCAATATGCTACATTTATTTCTGCATTTGATGAATATTTAATTTCAAATAAAACAACAGAAAAAGCAGAACTTGTTTTTAAAGCTTGTAAAGAACTTTCAACATCTCTTAAGAATGAAATTCATTTAATATCACCAGTACATCCATTACCATCACGTCCATGGAAAGGAACACGTTTAAGAGCAACAGAACTTCTTAAAAGTGAAGATTTTGAAGGAATTACACCAATATTATTAAAATGGGATTTTCCTACACCAAGAGTATTACCATTAATTGATTCATTAGAAAAAGCAGTCCGTGCAGGTGCATATGATTCAGCTGATGATACTAAAGTAGAATTATTAGAATATTTCCAACAATTTGCAACAGGAGGAATAATGAAATATCAAGAAGATCCATGTAGAGAACAAACTGCAAAAATGTTACAATTAACACTTCATAAATTTGAATCAAAATATTGGAAATTTAAAGATAAAAGAGATGTTGGATTTGCATTAGCATCATTAGAAGAAACATTAGTACCATCATCATTAGAAGAAGATATAGTAATACAAGAAATTAAAGAAATTGGAGAATGTCTTCGATATGGTACATTAAATTCACTTTATCTATTACCTAAATATTCTGAAAAATTAAGATTTTTAGGAGCACCAAAAGTAACAATAGGAAATGTTGATTCAATTCAAAATATATCAAATATTGAAGAATTACAAGAATTTTATAATAATTTACCACCATTACCTGATAATGATGCATTATTAGTATTAAAAGAGATGGTAATAGAATTAATAATTCTTGATATTTTATTAACATCACCTGATTATCATAATGAACAATTTGAATATTTAACTCAAAGAGTTGTTCATTCAGTTACTAAAATTACACGATCAAGTCTTTTTTTAGCATATCTTATTGAAAATCCATTTAATAGAGAAATTTGTTTATTAGCAGCTAAAAGTATTGAACAATCAATTACTGATATTGCATTATTTTTAAATGAATTAGTTAGAGTTAAAATAAGAGAAGAAAGAGATTGGGTTGTTAAACAAGATATTGTAAAATTTATTCGTGGTGTTGAAATAATAATGTTTTATAGTCAACCACCTCCAATTTATCATGCTTATAACTTAGTAGAAAATATTGTTAGAGATGCTGAAGCACTTCAAGTTTATCAATTTGCAAATATTTCAAAAGAAGTTGAATTTAGAATAAAAGAAAATTATGAAGAATTTAAAATTTGTGTTCATCCTAAAAATTGTAATTCTGATTTACTTTCATCTTCATTAATAAATGAATTTTCTTCTGCAATTGAACTTTTAGATGATACTGAAATAAAAAGAATTGGAACAGAAATATTAAAATTACTTAAAAAACATCATTTTGGTGATTTAATTCGTGTAAGTATTAATGTTGCTACAATGTGTGCACAACAATCTTGTTTATCTGTTTTTGAAAAAGCATATGATGGTATTACAAATGCAATGAAAGCTTTTACTTTAGATGAACAATTTTTATTTAAACAAATTAATGAAGAATTTGTAAGTAAAGGAAGAGCTGTTGTAAAAGATCAAAGTAGTATTGAAGAAATGTATAATGCATCTACTCGTTTAAGAAAAGCTTTAGATAATTGTTTTATTGTTGATGAAGTTAATCCATTACAATCTGGATGTAGAGAAGTTCGAGAAGTAATGTCATCTGTTCAAAGTGAAGTTGTAAAATTAATTGTTCCTGACGTTGAAGTTAAAAAGATGTATAAAAAATTAGATGAAATTAATCATTTAATTTTAATTAAAAATTGGACTGAAGCACTTGAATCAGAATTAGTAGCATTATTTACTATTTATCATGGTGATAAAGATTTAAAAGGAAGAATTATTACTACTTTACAATTACTTGAATTATTATTAGATTTCTTTGCTCAAAATCATGTTCTTTATGGCAAACTTGAAAATATTAAAAGAAAAATTGCAACTGGATTAATCTTCATTAAATGGGGTTATTCTGATATTGTTGATGTAATTCAAGAAATTAATGAAGTATTAGATGAACAAGAATAAAATAATCATTTAAATTTACCTTCATTTTTTTTAATTTTAATTTTATTTTTTAATAACAAAAAAAAAACAAAAATATGATTTAGCAATTGATTGATTAATTTTATTAAAAAAATACTCAAACTGTTCATATCAAAGGATCAACAAATTCATTTTTATTTTCTTGGTTTGTTGGTTCAATTGTTACTTGATTTTCTTTTACTTCATTAATTAAATTTTCATTGGATTTTTCATCTTTAATTATTTCTGGTGGAATTTGTTTTTCTTCTTTGTCATCAGTTTCAATTGTTGGTTTATTAATTTCTTCGTTTTTCTGTTGGTTCAGATGAATCTGAATTGGTTGTTGTTTAGATTCTTTAGATTCTGATTTGATTATTACTTTTTCATTATATGACTTTCTTAATGAACTTTGTGGAATTGCTGGTAATTCTTTTGCATATGATTCTATTTTTAAATCTCCATTAAAATCTTCAATTGTTTTAACATCTGGAGTTCTACATGGTGATAATATTGATGTACTACTTGCTTTAGAACCACCAAGAGAAATAGGAGAAGGAGAACCAGTAACTGATACCTTACATAATTCATTCATTTTATTACGATACCACCAAACATTAAAATGTTGACTGCCAATAAATTCTTTAATAAATTGTTTATGTGATTCATGTTTAATAATTTGAGGAAATCCTTGTTGGAATTGTGGGAGATCAATTGGTCCTTTAGAAATACAATAATTACGAACAAAACTTAATAATTTATCATATAAATGATGTTTAATCTTTTGTTGAACATCAGAACTAAATGAAACTAATTTTTGTTGAGGAATATTTTCAAGAGCACGTTCTCTTTCATTAAAAGTTTTAAATTTAATTATATCAGCAAAAGTAGCTTGAACACAACTACCAAGTGCAGAAGATAATTCAGCAGCAAATGGTAAAGCATGACGAATAACTGGATTTGTTTTTATAATTCTTTTTTCAAGAGTAGGATCAAATACACTTCCTTGTTCAAGTTGAATGACATCTGCAATGACACGAGTAATATCTTTCGGGATTTCAGTTCCATATAAACTAGGAACAGGAGATTCTAAGAATTCTTGTAATTGAACAGGAACAAATGGAATTAAAACACCTTGCCAAATAAAAGGATATAATAATGCTAATAACCCAAATACTGAACTAGTAATAAGTGATGCATTATTACCAACTAAAATGACAGAATTACCACTTAATAATGATGACAATGCACTTAATATAACTGGTATTTGAACTCCAACAAATAATCGAGGTAATGCATAATCTGCAATCATTTGTAAACAACATGCTGCCTGTTTATCTCCAGGTGCAAGAGAATCATATAAACAAGAACGATAAAATGTTCTTGTTGGAGCAGGTGGAATTGTTATAGAAAATGAATATTCTTTTAAGTCAGGTGCTTCAACTGCTAAAACTTTATTTAAATAATCAATCATTCGTGATTTATTTGAAACATATTTTTCAGAAGGATTTCCACCATTTCTGAGATAAAATGCTTTAATATAATTGTTTTTAGAATGAAAATCCAATATTTCCATATCTTCTAACATTGAAAATAATGCATTAATATGAGGACATTCACTAACAAAGCAATAAATTCTATCAACAACAATTGGATTAGCTCCAATTGTATATATTTTTTGAATAACTGTTTCTTCAATAAAATCACTAGGAAATTGTAATAACTCTTTTCTTACAATACAAACACCTGAAATAATTAAAATTTCTTTTCTTTTTCTTCTTTTTATCTTTTTTATTTAAATAAAAAAAAAGAATCTTTTAACAAACAGAACGATGTTGATGTTTCTCCTGGAAGAATTAATAAATATTTTTTTGGTGCTTCAAGAAGAACATTAAGTTTATTTGTTTGTGTTGCAGTAACTCCTTGTGGTGCAATAAATTTAGAAAAGTGTTCTTGAAGATCAGCTTGTGGTGGATAACAAAAAAGTTTTTGGGCGTCATAAGTGTATGACTTCCTCCAAAAACTAAATTCATCAGTTTTAAAATTTGAAGGAAGTCCCCATATAGAAAATGATGATACAAGATTCGATGATGTCAAAGTAATTGCCCTTTCTAATGGAGATGAACAAATATCACTAAGAGGAGCACTCATTGAATGTTCTGATGATATGAAAAGGAACTTATATTTTTTGAACTTTTTTTTTTCTGGTTGAATTTTCTTTCCACAATTCTTTTTTTTTTTTGTTTTTTTTTTGTTATTCTAAAAATAACTTTTCTTATTTTTCTATAGATTTAATTAAAATAATAATTATACCTATTTTTAAATTATTTATTCTTGTAAATAATAGAAAATACAATTAACTATCTATCAATTCATTAAATTATTTGAATGATTAAAGTACTATTTACTATTTAATCAATTAAATTACTCATTAAATAAATAAATAATTGTTTATGTTATTAAATAAATAAACAAAACACATTTTGTATTAAAATGATATTTCATATTTGAAAATGTAATTGAAGTAGAATAACAAAATGAGAATAAAAACAGAAAATATAAAAATAATTTTATTTAAGAGATAAATTAAAATAACAAAAATTAAAAAAGAATTTAAATAACATAATTTCTAGAGTTGGTTTTGATAAGGACAAGAACAATTGGAATGAAATTCTCCACTATCATCGAAATATGTTGAAAGTGTATAACAAAGACCTTGTGCACAAGGTTGAGAAGATGATTGATAATGAGGACACATACATAAACAAGTAGAAGAAGAAGAATTTGTTGAAGTAGAAGAAATATTATTTAAACAATCACCATATTGTTTGATACATTCCACACAACGAGGCTCTAAACCTACTTGATGTTCTTGTTGAAGTTCTTGTTGGATTTCTTGAGGAGATTGAGAATGAATTAATATTTGTCTTAATTGGTTATGTGTAAATGGATCATTTTGAGTACCTTGTAATAAAGTATTTGCATCAATAACACCATTGAACATTAATACATGAACTACTCTACTCCAAAATGTATCAGATGGAATATTTTGTGGAATACTCTCTCTAGTTTCTGGTTGTTGTAATTTTGTATATTCATTTATTAAATAATCAATTAACTGAGTTAATGTTTTAAATCCAAGTTTTTGTTGTAATTGTTTTAATTTACGATATAACTCTGGTTCTAATCGAACACGACTTTCTTGTTGTTTTGGTCGCTTTTGAGGTGAAGTAGTGCTTTGCATTTGAAATGATTCGATCTTTTATTTTCACGTATTTTTTGTTTTTTATTGAAAAATCTATAAGGAAAAAACAGATGCCAACCAAAAATCTGTTTTTCTTGTTTGTTTCTTCCCCTTCATAAAGTAATTTCTTTATTTTTGTTTTTTTCATTTTTATTATAGAAGTTTTGTTTTGTTATTGAACTTTATTTTGGACCATTTTTTATTCTTTTTGGACCATAAAAGTGTGTAGAAGTTGAATACAATTCAATATCATTTTCATACTACAATCTTTAATTGTTTCATTCGGTATTGATGAAGGTTTGTTGGTGAGTCTTGTACAGCGTCATCAATGGATTACAAATGAAATGGTTCAAAGAAGAAAAAGGAGTTGTTAAAAAAAAATAAATTAAAAAAAAATTTTAAGAAAAATAAAAAATAAAAAAAGTAACTTAATAAAAAATAATTTAAAATAGGGAAATGAAACCAAATTTTATAAATTTATTTGCGATTGACCAAAAGTTAACAAATACAGGAACTGTAAGTTGTCCTCGAAAAATGTCTCTTCATCGAACATTTTCACCAAATCAATCACAAACACAATTAGGGTCATCATTAAAAAAATCAAATCCATATTCTATTATCTTTAATGCTGCAAAAGGAATTAATGAAGAATTTAAAAAATCACATAATGAAGGAGAAGAACAAAATTTATCACCATCACTTGCTGATGATGCATTTCTTGAAATTCATAGATCAACAAAATGGATAACAAATGAAAGAAAAGTAGCAGCTGAAAAAATTAATTCAGCACTACAATTAAGAAAAAAATATCAATGTGTAGAAGTACCAAAATTAATAAATTCAATTGATCATAGATATCTTACAAAAGAAGGAATTAGTGTATTTCCAGTACATTATTCTGATGGAATTGTTCCAATAGAATTACCAAAAAATGATACAACAATATATTATGAACAAAAAGATGGAGTATTTCTAGTAAAATTAAAAGAAAATCAAGAAAATATATTTACACCTATTACTTTAACAGAATTTATTGAAGATTATAAAGAAATATTAAGAATAATTGATAGTGGACCAGCAAAAACATTTTCAATGGAAAGAATGCAAGAAATGCATCATCAATTTGAATTACATAAAATCTTTTCATTTGAAAAAACAAATACTGGAAAAGATTTTTTTTCAGCAGGAAAAGTCGACACACATATTCATGCGGATAGTTGTTTTACAGAAAAAGAATTATTTAGATATATAAAAAGTAAATACGAAAATAAAGAAATAGTTCATGAAATAATAAATAAAGAAGGAAAAAAAGAAAAAGAAACATTAAAAGATATGTGTAAAAGAAAAGACATTAATATAAATAAATTAACATTACATAAAATTGGAGTAAAAATATATAATTATGATAGATATAAAGAAGATGATTTACGTACTGTATTTTTAAATATTAATAATATTATGGAAGGTGAATATTTTGCTGATTTAGTTAAAACAGAAATGAAACATTTAGAAATAACAAATTGTTATTTTGAATTAAGATTAAGTATTAATGGTAAAAATGAAAATGAATGGAATTTATTAGCTCAATGGGCAAAAAAATGGAATGTTAATTCAACTCATAATAAATGGATTATTCAATTTCCTAAAAGATTTGTTGAAATTAAAGGAGATAATACATTATTTACATATTCTAATTTTCTTTCAAATTTATTTAAACCATTATTTGAAGTATCACAAAATCCACAAAATAATGAAATATTAGCAAATTTCTTAGAAAAAGTTTCAGGATTTGATCTTGTTGGAGATGAAAATGAAATTGAACAAATTATTGGTTCAGATACTTTTAATCCTACAAATTGGAATAAATCAGTTAATCCATCATATTTTATTTATATGTATTATTTATATGCAAATATTGTTTCTTTAAATATTTATCGTATGTCTAGAGGTTTAAGTACATTTGATTTTAGACCTCATTGTGGTGAAACTGGTCATTATTCTCATCTTGCTGCTGCTTTTTTAACTGTTAAAGGAATTTCTCATGGAATTAAATTAACTGATTCTCCAACATTAAAATATCTTTATTTATTAACTCAAATTGGTATTACAATGTCTCCAATGGCAAATCATTTAACTCAATGTCAATATAATCAAAATCCTTTTAATAATTTCTTTAAACGTGGATTAAATGTTACTTTGTCATCTGATGAACCTCTTCAAATTCATAGAACTCAAGAACCTTTAATGGAAGAATTTGCTATGGCACAACAAACATGGAAATTTGAAGATGTTGATTTAGTTGAAATGTGTAATAATTCAATTAAACAAAGTGGATTTTCATTAATGAAAAAGACTACATTATTTGGAAATAAAAATGATGTTATGATAAATGGAAGGTCATTATTTAGAAATAAATTACTTGATACTGAATTTGCTATTATTAAAGCTTTAATTACTGACAATTCAAATAAAATTTTTGGTGATATTCCTGCAACAACTATTGATTTAAATTATAAAACAAAAGATCCAAAAGAAATTGATGTTATGAAAAAAATTACTTATTGGATGTTAGTTAGAGAAAAATATTTTGCAGAAAATTTACCTCAAGTTATAAATGATTCTATTCAATTAAATAATCCTACAACTCCTCAATTATTTTGTGCTATGTCCAATGGAATTTATAATATTTATAATACCCCTGATGCAATTTGTGATATTGATCATTATCATAATGCTTTTGTTTATTGTTTTGATTGTAGAAAAAATTATTGTAAACATTGTTTTAAAGAAGCTCATAAAGATCAATATCATTCTATTAGAAGAACTAAACATTTATCATATTATCCAATTATTGAATTTTCAGAATATATTAATGATTATAATGACCTTGTTAGATTTAGTACTGATGGTCCTTCAAGAACGTTTTGTTATAAACAATTACATTCTCGAGAACAACTCTTTATTCTTCATAAAATTCTTAATAACTCATTAGAAAGTCAAGAAATTAAAAAATTACCAATTGATTTTGAAAGAAGTACTAAAGTTGATACTGTTGTTGCTGCTTCTAGGTCATTTCATCCTAGAGATCTTCTTATGCTAATTTGGGATAAATTAAAAGAAGATGGTGATAGAGTTGTATTTCCTGAAATATCAATAAAAACTGAGTCAGGTACAAGAGTTTATAAACATGTTACATTAAGAAATGCATTTTCTATTTATCAAATTAAAGACTTTTCATTAGACAATTTGTCAGTAACATTTGATCCATCATTAATTCAAAGGTATGATTTATGGGATTCAAGAAATACTATTTTTAATGTAAAAGAATTAAGAGACTTATTTTTAACAACTACTAACAGTGTGGGTGGTACTTATTTTTGTGAATTCTTAAAGAAAACAAGATTTGATCAAGTTGAAGAACAACCTAATCAAAAAACTGAAATGCATATGTGTCTTTATGGTAGAAGAATGAATGAAATTGAAGATATTGCTAAAGTTATTGTTAAAAATGGATTAATTTGTCCTGAAAAAAATAATTTTAGCATTCAATTACCAAGAAAATATGCAATGATTAAAAAAGAAGGAAATGTTAATACCTTTGAAGAATTATTACGTCATATGTTTGAACCATTATTTGATGCAACATTAAATCCAGAAAAACATCCTGAACTTGTTACTTTTCTTGAAAATGTTGGTGCATTTGATTGTAAAGGAGATGAATCTGAATTTGAAGGAAAAATATCATTATCATCATTACCTGTTCCAGCAAAATGGGATTCATATAAAGAACCTCCATTTGCTTATTGGATTTATTATGTTTATACTAATATCCATGTTTTAAATAATTTAAGAAGAACATTAAAAATGAATACTTTTGATTTTAAACCTCATTGTGGTGAAACTGGAGACCCAATGCATAATGCTGCTGCATTTTTAACTGCTGATGCTATTTCTCATGGTATTACATTAGATAAACAAAATACATTACAATATTTATTTATTCTTGCTCAAATTGGTATTTCTTGTTGTCCAATTTATGATAAATTCTTGTATGATATTATTGAACATCCTTTTTATAAATATTTTATGCGTGGAATGCTTGTTACTTTAGCTACTGATTCACCTATGCATACTCACACTACTAAAGAACCTCTTGTTGAAGAATATGCTTCTGCAATTAAAATATTTAAATTAACTGCTTCTGACATTGCTGAAATTGCTCAAAATTCTTTACTTATTTCTTCATTCTCTGAAGATACAAAACAAAATTGTTTAACAACTGAAGAAGGTGAAAGTTCAAGTGTTCCTCAAACTCGGCTTCAATTTAGAGCAAAAATTTCGAAATTGGACTTTGATACTTTACTTAAATTTAATATCGGTAGATCAAATTTAACTGAAAAAGAACAAGATATCATTTTACAAGCTTCAATGCATCTCTAAATTATCAATTTTCGTTTTTTAATAACATTTTATTATTTTTATTTTTAATTAATTGTCAAAAGAACTTTAAAAACTAATAATGTAAAACAGCAGACTACCGTTGTTCTAAAAATATTTATTATATAAAACTATAATTTAAACTAATATTTATTATAATTGAAAGAGGGATTTCATAAAAAAATACTTAAAACAGAGGAGAAGTATTACATTTTTTTTAAATAAGAAGCTTCTAGAGAAAAGAAGAAATTATCGGAGATATTTAAAGTGTTGTTGAATCTCTTCTAAACATTAATCATAAACTAATGGCTGAAGCACTTTTCAAAGAAATTGATGTTAATGGAGATGGAGCTGTTTCTTATGAAGAAGTTAAAGCTTTTGTTTCAAAGAAGAGAGCAATTAAGAATGAACAACTTCTTCAATTAATTTTCAAATCTATTGATGCTGATGGAAATGGAGAAATTGATCAAAATGAATTTGCTAAATTCTTTGGATCAATTCAAGGACAAGATCTTTCTGATGATAAGATTGGATTGAAAGTACTCTATAAACTTATGGATGCTGATGGAGATGGAAAGTTAACTAAAGAAGAAGTTACTTCATTCTTTAAGAAGCATGGTATTGAAAAGGTTGCTGAACAAGTTATGAAAGCTGATGCTAATGGTGATGGATATATCACCCTTGAAGAATTCCTTGAATTTTCACTCTAAACACATTCTTCTTTAAGAAAATTGTTTTGTTTTAATTTTCATGTTTTTATTTATATAAAAAAAAAGAAGAATAGACAAAAGTTAAATTAAATTATCAAGACATTTCTGAGCAGTGTTATAGAATGATAAAAATGCACCAATATTTTGCACCCATATTGATCTATTGACCATAAATTTGTAATTAACACCATTTTGGATTATAGTTTCTAAAATCTTTTTAAAAGCAGGACAAGAAACAAAGAATTGTGTTTCAATATCTGAAATATCAATAGATATTGATGAATGGAATTTTTTAGCTAATTCAATAGCATCATCAGTTGAAGAAGTTTCAAAAGTATTAAAATAATTAAAATGAATTGCTCTAATATCAGGGAATTCAGAACTTAAATCATTAGAAATATCAAATTGTTGTAAAACAGATGAGTCCATAATATCCATTCCTAAATAATTTTCATATGTTTTAAATTCATCATCAATACTTTTTAATTTTTGAATATCTTCTTTAGTTGCTGTTCCTAAACATTTTCCTGAAGAAGTTTTTTGAAATAATAATCCTATTCCTCTTTTTGGTGCTGTTATATCATGATTTAAATAAGGTAATAATAATGTTTTAATATCTTCAATATTTGATGTTGGTGTTAAGAATGTCATATTATATGGTGACATTAAATCATAAAATGTAGTTGAAATTGTGTCTATATTAACTTTTTGATTTAAATAAAAGTCTGGAATATGATAAACCATTGTTATTTCTTTCATAAATATTTCATGAAAGTCTAATATATATTTCCAATTTTTCCATATTTTTGTTTGATCAGTTTTCCATTCTGGTAATACGTGTGGTAATAAATACATATTTAATTCATATCCATAACTTATATAAAAACTTATTAATATTATTATCATCTTCATTTCTTTTTGTTTTTTCTCTTTTTTTTTAAGTTTTATTTTTTTAGTTCTATATAAATTTCATTTTATTTTGAAAATTTTATTTGTTAAATAAAACAATTTATAAAATTTATTATCACATTATTTATGATGTATTTTAATGTGTTATTGATGTGTTGGGAATTATTCTTTAATTTTATCATATTTTGTTGAATAAATAAATTCTATAACTGCCTCTTTATTAAATTGAAACACATTTTCTTGTTTTTTTCATTTATTGTTTTGTTTTGAGTTATAAATCAGTTGAAACTAAATGAATAATAATTCATTTTCAAAAAAAAAAAACATTCTTCTTTTTGAAGAGTAAAAGTTGATGGATAATATCTTTGATTAAATTGTTTAATTCAACTATTTCATTGATATTAATAATTTGAATTAAAAACATTGGATGAGACAAATTTATGGGTTGATATAATTCAAAGTCATTAAAAAAAGCCATTATCAATATATTTGACATAAATGTATAAATATTCTATTAGAATATTTTTATGATAATATTCATTCATCAAATGATTATTAATGTTCTCTTTTATCTATTTAAATAATAGAAAATAATAATTTAATACAATACTATTGTTTAAATCATTTAAAATTCATTTAAAAATGAAATATTTAGTTTAAATATTAAATATCAATTACATTAGTTAGAGTAGTTATGAAATATGAAAAAAAAACAAGATAGCGTGATGTATAAAATGAATTATTAAATATTAATAGAAATGAACCATTTAGTTATTGATATTCATAAATATTGTTTCTTATGAAATTGCAATAAAATCAAATAATTAAACAATAAGCAATTAATTAAGTGTTAATAGAATTGCTCTACCATCTTATTTTTTGATATCTATGAAGTAATAAGAGTAACTTTACTTATTTATAGATAGTTAGTTACTTTTTATCATCATCTACAGGTGATTAAGAAAAGAAGAAATAGTTGGATTTTTATTGTTACTCAATAAAACAAAAGAAATCTTTTTGTTTTATACATAAACAACTAACCAAGATTGACTTTAAAGAAGAGATTATGGAAATAGATTTTATCAACAAAGACAATTCTAATAATTTATGATAACACCATAATACAAGGAAAAAACAAGTAATTAAATCAAATAAATTACTAAACAATATTTTGAAATAATAACATCAAATTATCAATAACAAGTAATAATGAATAATTGAAATATTAAAGGATTTCAACAATTTATTAAGTAGTTTGTTTAATTAATTGGTGATGGGATTTTAAAAGAGAATTAACTATAACTGTTTCTTATTGTTTTGTTTTAAAAATTGTGCTGACTAGAAGTATCATTTGAGTCAGTTGATTCGTCTAGTTTACTTAATTCATAATTCTTCACAACAACTATTTTCTTATTTCTATTTTTATTTGATTTTAGTGCTGAGTTTTCGCTTTGAGAAGTAGTTGAGGATTGGACTTCACTTGTTTGTTTTATAACAACTGTTTCAGTAGTATTATTCGGAAGATTAAGTTTTAATGACTTGCGTTTTAATTTTTCTTTCTTATCTTTTTTAAGTTTTTTTGTGATTTCTTTATGAGTGATGTCATTGAAAAGGTGAATATCAATTAAACTCTTTTCATCAATTTTTAATACTCCACAACTATTCATGAATTTTCCTTGATAAAATGATGCAGAAAATATAGAAATACACGGCATTTTGATGTCAATTCCATTGACAAATGAATGTCCTCGAATTAGTGTTGTCAAATTATTCTCTTCAAGAAAAGTTTCTAATGTTTTCTTACCAAATACAACTGATATTCCTCGTTTAACATTCTCAACAAATCCTGAACTTGTACTATTAAAATCACTCCAAACTAAATCACATAACATTCCATCCCATGGAATATCAGTTGGTCTACTAATTCGTTTTAATTGATCAATTCTTTGAAGATATGGTGATAACCCACCATGTACACATAACATTTTCTTGTTAATAACAGCAGAAAATGGATAAACATTAAATGTAGAAACAAATGCATTCCAAACCAACAAGTCTCCATATTTTATTAAGCACTCATTTTGAAATCCAAATAACCGATTCATATAAGCACATTCATGATTCCCTCTAATAAAATGAATATTATCTGGATATTTTATCTTTAATGCATACAATAAACATAACACTTCAACTCCATATTTTCCTCTATCAACATAGTCTCCAAGAAATAAATAATTTATTTCACCAGGATATCCTTCTCGAAGGAATATTCTGAGTAAGTCATATAACTGTCCATGAATATCCCCAACTACTATTATCGGTCCTTCTAGTAATAAATGTGAACAACTACTTAACAATATTGTTCTAATCTGTTGACACAAATAACTAATTAATTAGTACTTTCTTTTGTTTTTCTGCTGACCTACAAACTATATTGTAGTTGCTGGAATTATACTTGGTTTATTATATCTTGAATTGAATATATCCACAATTAATTGGTCAATATCAGGGATAAATGATGTGATAGGAACCATTAATTTGCCTCGTTGTGCCATTCTTTTTTATGATTTTTGATCATTTTTAGTTTTTTTTATGTTGCCTAACTTAGCCTTTTTTATTTTCTGTTTGAATAAATTATTTTTCTTTTAAGGAGATTCTCCTTTTTCAATAGAAGTAAAGCTGAAACAAATTAACATGCAACCAATTTGGGAATAACTAATTATAAAAATAATAGTTTGATTATTTTATGTCATTGTCTTTATTTATTTTTTTTTATTTCTGTTTTATTACTTGAACTTATTTAAAATTTTGGTAATTTCATTGTACATATTCATAATATATATTTTTCTCTTTGAACAAACATTCCTGTTTTTTTATTTAATTTGTGTTAACTGAAAACGTTGATATTCTTCTAATTCTTTGAAGTTGAAATAAATTAAAAAAAAACAAGAATTGTTTTTAAGAAATAATATCATCATTTATTCTGTTCTTTTAAATATTTTTTGTTTTAAATCACCTTTTTAACTCTCAAACTTTGCTTTGAAATAATATTTCTTAATTTTTAATAGAAATAAAATATGTCATTTCAAAAATAAGGTGTGTGAAACAAATTATTCTTTGTAAGAAGAAAATTTTCACAAATATAACTTTGTGCTGATTGTTTTTGTAGAATATTTTTTAAAGAAATACTCCATTTTATTAAAAAATAATATATCTGTGAATTTTTCATTCTTATTGTCTTAAAAAAACATTTATGATAAAGGACTATCATATTATATTACACAAATACAATAACACTTTCAAAATAAGGATTTTTGTTGTTAACTAGACTATAGAGATGCTATTAAGTGTATCAACTTTCTTTTTGATAGGTTTGTTATGTCT